CAGAATTGTTGGCAAGGCATGGAGCGAGAGACTGTGGTACTGAAATGATGAGTTCGATGAGACATTCCATCCTTCATGCGAGGAGCTTGACTGTCACGTGATCAGGAAAAAGGAAGGCCTCCGAGGCATCCACAGCCGAAACAGGTGGCACTGCACACAGCATGAAACTTGAGGCGCAATAGATTGTATGTTTGATAGGATTCATCTACATTTTTATCACCGCCTATCTAAACCAAGCTTCTCTTGACCCTACTAACCGCACTAGCACTCGGCGTACTCGTCGGCGGCAACGGCACAAATTCCTCAGTATGAGTAGCCTCGGCAGTACCGTTCGTGCTGTAGTCGTCCGTAACAACTTGACTTCCATCCGCAATAACAACATGATCCAGCACCCTCTTAAAATGCTCAAGACTAGCCACAGGCTGGTAGTACGGCACCTCATGCCCCGCCTCATAGATCCTAGTAAACGAAAAGTTACCATACTCGCGCACCTCACCATACTCAACGCCATCAACAAGGAAGGGAGTGTAGCCCGCAGCGCGGAAAGCTTCAGAGTCTGTGTAGTTGACAGCGAGAGATACGGCTTCGCCGCCGAACCAGTTGCAGATGTAGTCTGCGTCGCCGTAGAGGAGGGCGACGCGCACGCCGTAGCTGAGGATCTCCTCGAGGTCTTCGAGGAAGTTGGGGAAGACGAAGTCGCCCGTGGTGGAGAAGCCGTAGGACACGTTGGGTGCGTTGGTGCTGGTGTAGTTGATGTTTACGCCGATGGCTTCTTGGGTGGATGCCATGTTGAGGAAGTCTTCGAAGTAGTCCGGGGGCGTGGGGTCGTCGTAGGGGTGGCGGATGTCGTAGACGCCGCGGCCGCCGAAGGCGTAGTAGGGCTCTTCGACGAGGGACCGGCAGAGGTTAGTGGCTTGCGCGCAGGTGAGGTAGCCGGCTTCGGTGGTGCGGTCGGATTGCTTGCAGTATTCGATTTGGTCGTGGCAGCCTTCGGGCATGTAGTAGGCGTTCTTCATGAAGGTGTAGACGGTGTCGTTGACGGCCTTGATGCCGTAGGTGTTGTTGACGGCAAATTCGGGGTAGTAGGGCGCCTGGATCTGCTCGTCGATTATACCGTTAATGACACCGAGAGTGTCCATCTCGACTTCGACACCGGCACATGAGCCGTTCTTGATCTTCTGGTTCTGTTGGTAGAAGTAGTTGTAGAAGCCTGGGCCGTAGTGACCTCCGTAACTAGGGACATTGTCAGCATTGCGATCATCTCTGGACAATCACATGACCTACCTCTCAGTCCAGAGGTTGAAGGTGAAGTTGGTGATATCGGGGTCGAGCTGCGGGCTCAGCTCCAAGAAAGCCTGGAGAATGTGCCATGCACCAATGGCTGCAGCATCGGTGGTGTTTGCAGTGTCTGGGTCGACGAGCGAGTAGCGGCCATCCTCATCCGTCTCGGTGGTTTCGTAGGAAAAGCCGACACCCACGGGCTGTGAAAGGTACAGCATGTTGCTGCGCTCATTCCACGAGTAAGGGTTTAGCTGTGTCTTCAAGTCTTCGGTAACGTTGCAAGGGCCATGTTCCTGGAACAGACCAATGAGAGAGTCACTTCCGGGGCCTCCGTTCAACCACAAGGTCTGACAATATGATTAGTACACATTGCAGTAACGCTTCACGAACACAGCACTTACCAATGGCTTCTCAGAAGGGTTCTCGCGAGCCTCAAAGAACCAGAAGAACATGTTCGTCGTCGGGTTGAGGCTGATGTAACCAGCATAGTCGTCGACACCCTCGGTGGTCTCGCACACACCCGCCTTGCCAGGCTGCTTGTACGTGATCTTAGCACCAGCAGCAGATGTAATGGTCGTGACGCCGGTAGGGTCAGCGGGCACTTGGCGTTCCTTGATGAACGGCGCGCGAGCATTGGCTAGCGAAGCAGCGGCCAGAACGGCGGCGAGTTGAGCGAAGCGCGCCATGGTGGGAAGCTTGTCGGGAAGAAGAGCAACCAAGACTTCAGCGAATGCTTGCCTAGCAAAGTAGTGTCTTCCACCTCTTTATATACACGGCCTTACTACGAAGCCAAGCGGCATTGCGTGCACCGGCTCACCTAGCTACGCATGCCTCTCGCGTATTTCAGCGCTGGATCAACGTCAGACTACATGGTCGTATGCTGCGAGCCGCGGGTTGGGGCACAGGAAAGTAGTCTAGATCAGGCAACTGCGGACGTTCTGTGCAATTATTGGCCGGATAACGTGTCTCTGAAGATCCTCCGGCTATGTGCTGGGAGCAGTGCTCAGGAAGTTCGGCTAGGATGTACCGGCACGTCCCTGGCGGGGTGATAGAGCTGTTTCACCTGCACGACCATCAATAATCATTGTGCCGTCTTCTTGCACTCTTTTCTTCAAGTTGCAAATACACCCATGATGCTCGCACACCTAGTTTCTGCGGTGCTTTGCGACAATATCGCGTTGACGTTGAAGCCTCGTATCCACAAGCCCCAAAGCTTGCTGCAGCGCGCATGAGGAGCTTCTTACCCAAAGAAGCAGCTCGCTATGCACAGCGGCGGAACAAGGCCACTTGCCAAGGCTTGTCTTGCTTGTTACCGAGCGGGCAAAGCTTATCGACGTCATGATTTCGGCGTGATATTGGACGGGAGGCTGGCACTGAGTTTAATGAGCCGTTCGCTGTCGATGGTGTGTGGAGGTGGAGGGAGGGGAAGAGGCCGGGAGATGCCCCGCCACATGCCGCAGCCCAGCCCTGTGCTGATTCCGACCGAGCGGTAGGCCTTAATCGTGGCTTTGGCGACTGAGGCGATGACCTGGAACTGTAGGCTTTTTCCTGCATCAGGAAGTCAAATCGCATGGCTTGTTGGACTAGGAACTCGAGATGGCCAAGGCTTAGTTCAGATGGGTGAGTGGTGTCTAGTTGCACAGACCAGTAGCAAGTGGCTGGGTGGGGACAATCGCAGTCAGCAAGTAGATCGCTCGCAATACGGCCAACACGGCACGGTATCTCGGTGTCCTGATCAATCAGGCCTCAAGCGGATGAGTATACAGGCGGGTACACGCGGCCATAACAGCAATTTTCGCGACTTCAGAGGTATGGGGTTGGAATGAGCAATGTTGTTGGTGGCATTTACTAATACTCTAATCTCCGGACTCTGCGAGGTTTATGTGTGAAACACACACACCGAGGTTGCTCCTACCCAGTGTACGACAACCTATCCGGGTCTTCCGGGTTGAATCACGCGTTCACTCCAGCACTCGTTACACTCCTCCGCCTCGCCTCCTCCACATCACCACCGAAATACCTCGCAATCTCCACGTCCAGTTCCCTACCCATCAGCTTAGGCATTTCCTTCGCTTGCTTGACCGGATTGATGCCCTCATGATGCGCGCTCGCAAAGATGACATCCAACTCTTCCAGACTGCGACCCTTGGGCTCCGGAAAGAAGAAGTAGACGCTAGGGATGAGGCAGGCGTTGAAGACCGCGAACATGGTGTAAGTGTTGTATTGCAAATTGGCAAAGGCCGGGGGCGTGATCATGACGATGAGAAAGTTGGATATCCAGTTAGAGCACGTAGAGAGCGCATTCGCTTGGATACGGATGCGGAGGTTAGTGATCTCGGCAGGGTAGAGCCATGTCATTCCCAGCCAACCGATCGCGAAGAACGTGTTGAAGGCGAACATGAACACCACAGCCGTGATGCCGTACTTGGGCTCTAAGACTGGAGCACCAAATTCGTTCTCGGTGGCCGTCGACGTCATGCCGCTCATGATAGCCATACTAGCCATCATGCCGAACGCACCAAAGAGCATGAGTTTGCGACGACCAGCTCGTTCGATCAATGGAATTGCGACTAGTCCGGCGAGGAAGTATTCGGTACCGTTGCAGGCGGACAGGAGACGGGACATGTCGGGGCCAAAACCGAGTGAGTTCTCGAAGACGTAGGTTGCGTAGTAGGTCTAGTGAAAGCAAGGTCAGTTTGTGGTTTACCACTGCGATATCTGAAGGCGTACGTACGATGAGATTGATACCGCTGATCTGTTGGAAGAACTGCGAGGCAACTCCCAAAAGCGTGCGCCGAAGGTTCTGACTGGGGCCGTTGTGTAAAAGTTCCTTCATCTTGAATGGCCCATCCCTACTTTGCGCTTCCAGCGCGTCTTTGATGTTCGTAAGCTCCGTATCGACTTCTTCCGAGTCTGCAGATGTACCGGCGAGGCGAGCAAGCAGGAGTCGGGCTTCGGTGTGGCGGCCGCGCATTACGAGCCATCTTGGCGAGTCGGGCAGGAAGCAAAGACCGATCCTGAGATCATGTTAGTGGTATTCTCTGTAGAAGCAGGAGAAGGTATACGTACATGACAAGAATAGTGAAGAAAGACTGGAAGACGATGGGGAACCTCCAGCGCACGGAGCTGTAGACCTCGCCCGATGGCAGGAAGTAGAATCCGTAAGTTACCCAGTACGAGATCATTACGCCCGCGACGATGACTGCTCCGGATGTAATGATCAAGCGTCCACGCTTCTCAGGTTTCGCGCACTCAGATTGCCAGGTTGGAATCGCTGAAAGGTTGTTAGCAAGTGAAGACGCGTGCAAGTCGAGGTGGTACTCACTTGCTGTGACCATGCCGTTGCCAATGCCACCGACCACACGCCCAATGGATAGGAGGGCGTAACCGTCGACTCCACCACCACGAGTACCTCCTGCAGCCACTTGAAGAATAGTTCCAACAATCATGATAAAGCTGCCCCAAAAGCTACTGCTTTTCCTTCCCCAGACCTCACCGTAGAACAAGATGAGGACAGCGCCGAGGAAACATCCGATCTGATACACCGCGACGCATGCGGACAAGATACTAGGGCTACCCGTGCACATACTCGGATCAGGAATAGTGTTGGTCGGTGCATCGAGCCAGCAGAGATTGTTCTGACGTTCGCGAGGTGTCATAAGAGGAAAGTGGCGTTGGAAATCTAGATGGTGGAGAAGTCAGCGTATGTCTCATACAGTTCATATGTCAGAGTACTTGCCATCGAGAGTGAGGACGCCGGACAAAACTCCCTGGTCATAACCGAACATGAGGAATGCCAGACAAGAGCACCATGCTATGGCGGTGTTCAACGCTTTCCCTTGGAGGAGACCAGCGCCGGGAACGTGCCATTCTGGCAGGTTACCGAGCTTGGAGAAGATACCTAGGACGCCGGAAGGTTGTGATGCTGCCTTTTGTTGTTCGATCGCATCTTGTGATGATGAGGAAGGATTTTCATAGTTGATGTTATCAATGCGCGTGTCAGGTGAATGTTCTGAGCGCTTCTCGTCTATCTTTTCGGAACCCATTTTGAGACTGAGATGGTCGAAAGAGTCCTAGCCAACGAATAGTGCAAACATCTGCTGGTCAGCGCCATTTTATACTTTTGGGCTTCCGCACACTCGGCTATCCTGCCGGTAGACAGACGCGTTTAGGTTGCAGCCAACTCCTCCGTGCGCCATCACCTGCAACCCCAGAGTCTTAGCCATAGCATATATGGGGTAATTTGTGGCTGGTACAAAGCCCATCGGCGACGTAGTCCAAGCCTTTCTCCAGTCGGAACGACCTCTTCGGGCAACCCGTCCAGGTGCTGAGGCTTTTCCGATGCACTAAGTAGGGCCAAGAGGCCAGACAAGCAGCGGGGCGGAGCCTTGACCTTGGCGAGCGTCCTCATCTCGGCGTTCGAGTCAGGAATACGGGAGTACCTGTGAACAGACATGAGTATTGCCGCGTAGTCGGGGAGATAGAGTAAGAAAAGTTGGAGTAGGCGAGAGTGAGAAGTTGTTTGTTGTGTGGCAGACGTGCTGTTCATGTCTGCTTTGAATCGTATATAACGCCAAACCATGCTGACTGTATAGTACATAGGCGTGCAAGCATGGGGCTTGCTTCATGCCTGTCGCTGGCTCCAGATGGTAGTCCTTGCTGCCGGGGCTTCCACGTGTGGTGCGCGGCTTCCCTCTATTCATCCTGACTTCCATAACTGCCCAGATCCAATGTTCATCGTGATCGTCTAATGCCCTCTATTGCGCCCGCTCATTTCGTGCTGAAGAGTTCGTTCTATTTCTTGCCGCGTCTCGCTTCGAGGAAAAGTACTTGTTTCCGCACTGTCCGCTGTCAGCCATGTTCCTGCATCCAGCCTGCCCCGCAAAAACCCGAGGGTCCTTCAATTGCCCCAAAGTTGTTTCCGATCTAGCATGGCTCCGTGTATGAGGCAAGCGCCGGTCGAGGAAAAAGGGAGGAAGGAACGATGGTGTCGTACCGATGGGATCGTATTTGAGCATGCTCAGCGGCTGATGCGCACGTGGTCTTTGCATTGTCCGGTAGTAGCCCGTCATGGCCATCGAGATTAGGCGCACCATAATGGTGCGGGACTTTGCTGTGAAGTGTCGTCGTCAGCGCATGTACGCAGAGTTGTGAGCCGTGAGAGGGTGCCTTGTGGATCGGCGGGGGCCTTGTGTTGGCTTCTGGGGACCTGAGATTGGAGTAAAGCAAGAGCGCATACCTTTCTTCGCCATTGCGACAGGCGAGGATGTGTGGTGCCGACGTCAACGGTGGTGATGTCGCTGCGTGACGATTTGCAGATGCGGATCTTGGCCCGGAGGTTCTGCGGCGCCAAGGTCGTCAGCCAATCAGCGTCGATTGAGGTCTTCGCGACACCAAAGTTCAGCTGTGCCCGTCAAACCTCTTCGTCTCAACCATGACGGCCATGTTGTGAAGCAGACCCTGCATCGCTGCAACCCCCAGGTCCTGGATTTATCGAAAACAGTGCTACTTTCCTTCAGCCGTCGGAGTCATGATTGACACCATTTGCGCAAGCGCACGATACGCCTACCCCTCGCGTCCTCTTCAAAGCTCTTCTTCGTCTTCGCGACGCTTCACACTCTTAATGTCATCTCGTTTCTTCAATTGTTCCGTCATCTCAATTATCGTTTTTGGGCTCTGCACCCGTACGTGATATCGTTGTTCCATTCCACCTGCAACCCATCTCTGTTACCGAACTCGACGACGACGACATGATTTGCATCGGGCATCGGCATGATTGGTGTACCTCACTCACTCCGAATTCGAACGCAGGGCGGTGTTGAAATATGTACGGATTGATCTATCTAGTAATGTCGGAGCAGAGCAACCTACAGACCCACGCGACATGCCGTTCCATGTAGCGGGCGAGCGGAACAGCTCTGCGTCCATGCATATACGCAACCTGCCTTCCGAATCTGCGTAACGGGCGCAGCAAGTATACTTGATGACACCATTCTAGAACCGACCACTCGAGTTCTGGAAGACAAGGCATGCACTTTGGTTTCTTCTCGGCTCCAGTTTCGGGACACTACTATCGCCCTGAGGCAGTAGGTCCTTTTCTGTGGAGTCGTTGTAATGCTTGGAGAGTGGCGTTCGAAGATCGCGTTATCCCCTTGGAACACCATGACCAACATCGAACCGATACCAACGATGAGCTCAGAAAGCACTCGCAAAAAAAAGCCACGGATTGACAAACCTGGATATCAGCAGCGTTTCAAAGTCGATAACAAGACACCATGGCCTGGGATGGATGCTCGACGAACCCTTATGTCGCTTGTCCGTACTCAACGCGCCGGCGTTGGCAACAAAAAAGAGCGCGGAAAGCAAGTCCGTGCTGCCGTCGCCTTGCGTGTTCGAATCCCTGACCTTGCACGAGGCAAAGTGAAGCCAAAAGATTGACAAAAAAATGTTAGCTACTCTTTGATTGAGCGTGTCATCCTTAGTGCAGGGGCCATGCTAATCTTCTCTGTATCGTTTCAAATGACCAAATGCCCGAAGGCGAGAAGAAGCTCGATTGTGGTGGTTATATACCCAAGGTAGAGCGGTGAGGGCGTTTGTTTGCGTCGAGCGGGTACCCGGGCTTGTGCGCAGCGACAAGGCAGCAGGCGGCGTATGGCATGCGCTAAGCGCCTGCAGGGAGCCGAAGGGAGGGGAGAGGAGTTCCGAGATGGTTGGTCAAGGTTGAGTCGATGTTAGCATGGCCTGCAGATGGAGTGTTGAGCGTACCTTTGGTGCGGCGCTCCCTGCGACCCCAGCCTCGCACCAAGACGATGGAGCGTCAAAGCGGCGCCTGAAGCCAAGGCAATACCCTTGAAATGCTTGATAGTTGGCTTTCGATTTCGTCGCATCGTTCGGAAGCTGCTTTGGCTATCTGGTCAGCTATGAACGAAATCCGCGGAGTTGAGGTTGACGATCTACCAACGATGACGCATTCCGGCAACCAGGTAGCCAAACGAGGAGGAGGCAAACATGAAAGAAAGAGATGAGAAGGGACGTATGTAGCAGCTTGTTGATTATGCTTAAGCGTATCTGCGACAATGTTAGCTGCACACGAATGGGAAGAGCTGGGCAGACGATGACACTCCACACTATGGCGTTGGGAGTATTGCGAAGAGTAGACAAGAGCATGTCGCATGAGTACTCTGGAGAAGGCAGACCGCCTACGGTTAGCATGCTGCTGTCCTGAGAGGAACGGGGTACTTACCGTCGAATTCGAGGAGAACACCTGCGCGTGTGCGACACCAACCAGTTAGCATGATGCTGACTTGGAGGATCAGAGGTACTAACCGTCACGCTACTAAATACGAGTGAGGAAGCTGGAAGAGCACATTGCGCGCATACGACACCATGCGGTTAGGAGGATGTTGTCTTGGAGAAGAGGAGGTACTTACCTTCAAAGTAGTTGTTAAGACTGGAAGTCCGCCGCGGAGTCGAACAAGGTCAGAATATACGCGTCGCATCAGCAAAGTCCATATCTTCGGGCGTTCGGTCCATTCGAACGACACTCACCGGATGCGTGGCGCCGCCGCCGCCGACACCAGAAGCTACCAAATTCGATCAAGTACCCACAATTTCATGTGAAGTATGGGAAATGTACGGACGACCCACAGCATCATTTCAATGAATTGGAAAGGATGCTTAACCTACGCCCGACAATCGAGCTGTGGGTCTATACAGGACAAAAGCCCAGAATAGCAGCTCGAAATGCGACTTACTTGCTCTTGGAAGCCGCTCAGTGAGAGGCCACTATGAGGAAGTGGTCTCACTACCTTACAGGCTGATGCGACTCCCTGAAACCAACATTGGGTCTGCGATCGATCAACAAAGATGAAGAGGACGTGAGAACACGCGGGTAGAGTCTGGATACTTCGGGTCGGCTGGTCAATGGGAACAACACCCACAGGATAGCTTGGCCGTTGCGGACAACGACGCCCGAGAAGGCTACCAGGTTTGGTTGGCAATAGGGTAGAGCTGCCGCGAGTGGGAGATGCGAAACCGTCAGGCGATGTGACAAGGAAGAAGAGCCAGGTGAGGAGGCGTATATCTTGGTGATCAGCAATATGCCTCACCACCGAGCATTGGTCAATGTACTTACTGCGATGAAGCAACCAAGACCGAAGCCGGCCGGAACGCGGACTGGAATGCCTGGCGCTGAAGTCAGCGAAGGAGCCGGATCTTCGGACACTTGTTCAATCTGAACGACACTCACGAGATAGCATCCGCCGTTGCGAATGATTGGGCTCGAGAAAGCTGACCATCGTCAACGCCAGTCGGGAAGGCGTACGTGCATAAAGTCAGCAGAAGATTCATTCATCGGGCATCTGGTCGGAAGTACTTACAGCAATGCGATAGTCGCACGAGAGCCAGCGCAATATCGAATGTCATTGCGCTTGAATTCAGCCACCGTCTCAAACCTTCGAGCATCTAGTCAATTTGACCGACACTCACAGATTGCTGTCTACGCTGCCGAAGATGATGCCAGAGATAGCCACCATCGGATCAAGGGCTGGGGAAAGAGATAAGATTCAGATCTCGGCGGTGCGGACTGGAGATGCTACTATGAGGAAGTAGTCTCGGAAGATCATCGCACCGCCTTGAGAAGCGTAGAGCTAGTGCCGGCACAAGCTGAGAGGAGATGTGAAAGAGTTAGCTATGGTCTTGGACGAAGGGGGGTGAAGAAGGGATCACTTACCCGAAGCGAAGATACGCAGCCAGGTCGACATCAAAAGCGGAAGCATCACATCACGCAAGCAAAAGAGACAGAACAGGTATCAAACAAGTATAAATCTGCGAAGAGTTAGCAACTGGAACCGGAAAGAGAAGCAGGGATGGGAGACTTACTATATCTACCGCAACACCAAGGAGGGTTTCCTTCGACACTTTCCATCATTCAATCCACCGACTCAAGGAGCGTAGCTCGTCCTCGCTGACGTAGCCGGAGAGACCGCCGATGAAGACGGTGGTGTTGTTGGGGTCAATGAACTGGTTCCATCCGCTGGGGGTCAGCGAAAGAGTGAATCAAGCGAAAGGACCGCAGCCGTGACGAAGATTGATCTAGCATAGGCCCTGGACTGTATGTGTTCTCGAAGTCGTCGCTGCGGTAGCTCTTTGGCGACGGTGATATGCTCTTGTCCAGGACAGAGCTGTGCAAACGGACCGCAGCCGTGGCGAAGATTGATCTAGCATAGACCCTGGACTGTATGTGTTCTCGAAGTCATCGCTGCGGTAGCTCTTTGGTGATGTGCTATTGTACAGGAAACCTTGTGCACCGGCACAGTATGCTCTTGCCCAGGACAGAGCTGTTGGCGGTCATCCCATGGGGCGTCATCGGGGAATGGGCAAACGCTGAGACTCGGGGAGGAGGCGCTTCAAGCGCGAGCCACTGAACGGAATAGGCGGACCAGTGGGACTGGAGTGAGTTGCGACGCCATCCGGCGGTGATGTTCTCGTAGCCTGCGGACTTGATGTCCCATTGTGTCATGCGACGTTCGCGCTTCTGGGTGTTTGTGAAGCTGGTGAGATCGGGTGTAGCCTCGCGCGGCTTGTTGAAGGGCGGAGACCCCTCTTTTGCCTCCAAACGGCTTGGAGCGTGAATTTTAGCATCTTGATAATGTCAATGAGCGACCTGCGGTCGAAGAGCCCGAACCCGGAATCGACAGTAGAGCTGACGCGTCCTATCACGTCCGCCGCCGAAGCCTCCATCGCGTCCTCCCCGAAAGAGGCGATTGGGTAGTGGTAACAGTCATGTCGATATCAACTCAAGCCATTACACACCAGTTACCAGTATCATCCATATCCATCTCAAATCAGACCAACTCCTTGTGCATCTCAAGAACCTGAGCCTTGGTGCCAGACAGCGCCATAGCAGCGAACAGATCCTCTTCGAAGCCCGCCTGAGGGCTAATATCATTGAACTTCTCTTTGCGCTTGTTGACGAGTAGCACGAAATGGCGAGGTAGATAGCGCAGAAGCTAGCGAATCCGTCTGGTAGTGTCCAGTAGACTGGCTTCGGTACCTGGCCTCCCTGTCGCCGCGCATCCTGAGGACGGACCGCTCCGAGACGGGCTTCTGGCGAGGTTTCGAAAGTTTGCGACCAACGACGACACGCGCGAGGATCGGGTTGGAGAGCTTGCGATTAGCGGCATCCTCGTCACCGCCGCCGCCCTGATCCGGAGTCGTGTTCCTCTCCGAAAGAGGCGTGCGCTTGTTGACGAGTAGCAGATCCGGAGCGGAGTTCGTCCCCGAAAGAGGCGATAAGTACTTGAACTCTTCAGCTGATTCAAGATGGTAAACTCCGTGCGCAGGAGCTGGAGGCAGCGGCAATGGAGAGGAGAAGTCGTGGCACTCTGGGCACAGGCTACGAGCATACAGCAGTAGCGAGGTAGCAGTCTAAGGCGTATCAGATGGAGACCGCCGTCCGGGCATGAAGTATTCCAGGGCGTCACAGGATACTGCGATGTGTGAGCTTCGTCTGTCGACGATATGCTCGTACTACTGGTTGGGTTGCTCTCCGAAAGAGGCGATCGCTTGTTGACGAGTACGATGGAGAGGCGAAAGAGCGACACATGGAGACCGCCATCCGGGCATGAAGTGTTCCAGGGTGTCACAGGATACTGCGATGTGTGGGCTTCGTCTGTCGACGATATGCTCGTACTACTGGTTGGGTGAAGAGATATCGGCTGCTTTTGAACTGTCGCCCCAAGACAAGCGCCAACCCTATCAATAGGAGAAGGCGACTTACAGCTTGGGGTATGAGATATGTCAAAGATACGCGAAGGCGGTGGTCGCTGAGATGGTGGCCGATCTCGCCGAACATCAGAGCAGGTCTTGACGTGGTTGTCGTTGGCACGAGCCGTCGGAGGAGATGAAGTATGCGTTGCGATGCTATCGCGTTGGTGTCGTGAAGCACAAAGTACTTCTTGCCGATGAGAGTGGCCAGAGGAAGCGCTGAAACCAAGTGCTAGTAACTATGCGTTGGCTCATCTCCGCCATCTTGGTATGCAGGTTTACTCTCGTGATGCCCGGGAATGTCTGTGGGGTACCGTATCGATCCTCAAGACTCTGTTCTTGGACGTGAAGGACAGGAGTACGTGATCGTGCGGGATGCATTTCGAACTTGTCGTCGCGAGCATGGGGCGTGAAAGCTGCTGATGTTGTGGCGCAACGTTGTAGGCATTTGGGCGAGAGGTCTGCCGGAGAAGTTTGCGGAAGACCAAGCGCAACGAATTCCACGTACTCGATGAACAGGTCGATGTTGTAGTTGTTGAAGAGATGCTCTGCATTTACCACCAACTCCAAGATCCAAACATTTGTCTTGAGCGACATGAGAAGAGGTGTGAATTCTTCTCTGCTCACCATGGAGAGTATCTGAGGCGCTGGGTATCTTGACTGCCGACGCTACGTCGTTGTTCTGGCTGCCACGCTTGGCAACGGTGACATTGGCCCTGGGCAGAACGTACTGCTCTTCGACTCCTCGCGACTCTGGATTCTGGTTCGGGAGATGGGATGTCTCGATGGTGCGTAGGAGGTAGAAGCGGACTTGCTGCATTAGACCTCTCCTCGCCGTGGTCGCCGAATACTCCTGTCGCCGTCCGAAGACGGGCGCCAACCCCACGCTGGGGAAGACGACTTACCATGAACGCCAACCCCCATCGCAGGAGGAGGCGGCTTACCATGGGCACCGACCCACCATAGGGAAGGCGACTTGTCGCTGTCGAATCCTCCTCCTCGAAACCCGCCTGGGGGCCGGCATCGTCCTCCTCAAAGTCCTCCCTTTGAACGTACTCATGTACCATGGTAATGACCTTCTGGAAAACATCCGTCAACAACGATGAGAACAACATTGCCCTCACTCTGGATCGTTTCTTGGTTCATATCGGCCATGTAAGGAGGCGATGTGTGAGCGTAGTATATGCATGGAAGAGCCAAGGAGCCAAGGAGGTTGAAGCGAAACCAAAGCGTGAACGCGACGTCAGGAACGCCCTTCTGCGGGACCTCGACGGTGATAGACGCCTCCGGCAGCGCAGCAGAGATAATAATGGCGTAGCAACTGGACGATGCAGAGCTCGAAGTTGACTCAAGCGTGACGGTCATGAAGATCGTCTCAGTCACGATGACGACTGGTCGTCGTACTCGTGCACCTTGGAGCCGGTCTCCAAATCCAACAAAGAGCAGAAGAGGAAAGATCAGCTTGTTGGGTCTCGACGAGCTCTCGAATCTGCTCCTCCTCGATGTATGTGGGGATGTTGACGATGCTCAGCTTGTTTGGGCTGTCCTTGACAACGGACGAAACCTCATCGCCAGGCGGGTATGCGTGCGCTTGTTGACGAGTAGCAGAAAAGCTTGCGTCTTACACGTGTTGGGCCTTCCCGAGCCGACAGGTTGTAGATGGAGCAGATGTTATCGAGACCACCACAAGCGCCGTCTGACAGCATTTCCTGTAGACGAGTTAGTATGAGCTTCAGGTAGGATGCAAGAAGCTACTCACCGGTCTTGTACTTCACTTGCCAATGGGTCGCTGCTTGTACCAGCGAGTATGTCCTGGCAGAAGCGAAAGGCGTGAACTTCGTGTACCTTCCATCTTCTAATGAAGAACGCTGCAACGCTTGCAAAAGTAGGAAAGATAGCGGCGTCGCATTGCGATTGCAAATGACCTTGGAAGTTTGACAAGGCTGGTATTCGAGGCGGATTCTCAGAGGGCTTCGATTTCGCTCGCTCGAGCCGGTGGTATCGGGGCGACACCAGCAAGTGGTGATGAGGTCTTGCTGGCGACTGGAGCTCACTTGGCTACCCTCTCGTCGTGGGAGAGGGCATTGCCCGGGAGGCGGGTGCGACGCGGCGCGGACCCGGAGTCAGATTTATGCCTCCCATGCCCTGGGTGGATGGCAGGGCTTGTCGGGGTGCTGGTATCTGGCAAGTGTTAGTACATGAAGGAGAATTGATCGAAGGGGAAAGATGATGCTCACTTCGTCTGGCGCCAGCTCGCCTCTTCATTGTAGCTTGTTTTTGCTCAGTGTCCCAGTGACACATCTTGCTTTGCTTCCAAGTGTTCTGCTTGAATTTTCAGGGGTGGAAGGCGTTCTCGGCGAGGAATTGGATTGACCACTCGCGGCGCGGTCGCCTAAACAAACGAAGACACCAGCAGGCAATGACCTTTCCTGCTGGGACTGCTCTGTTCAGCCATCTCCCTGAGACAAGGTGAGATGTTTCCAGGAAGCGCGGCGCGGACGCACAGAGACAGATTCACTTCCCACACTGAGACACGTTAGCAACAACCAAAGGGGGAGTGGGCACTTACATCGCTTTCTATACTGCGGCACGTTAGCAAAAGGCAAAGGTTGAGGACGACGTACATGCGATAGGCTATCGAAGCCTTAGGGTCGAATACGATTGCTGCCCACGAGGGGCGCATGGATCGTCTGTCTCGACCACATGGCATCTCGAGACGCTGATGTATACGTTAGAGACAGCCTGAATACATGTCAGTAAGTGCAGGTCGCCGGTAAGGGTAGGTAGATACTTAGCGTCGATGAGACGCTGATGAAAGGTATACTGCTCGCTGATGTGCCGGACAGCGCGTAAGTCGGCATGGATGGCGAGCTCGGAGGAGGGGAGGAAGGAAAGAATAGAGAATATGTCGAAGATGCTTAGGGAAGCAGAATGATTGGAAGAAGGTTCAATGCGGTTAAGCACGACTATACTGGAGCTCAGTCAGCCGACCTTCTCCGAAGAGAAGGGCGTTACCAGGAGGCGGCGACGGGGAGCCAGAGTCAGATTTTTGCCATCCCACCCTGGAACACTAGTTAGCCGACGACAGAGGAAGGGGAATACGTACTTGTAGAGGCTGCCTTGTCATGATGCACAGCGGTGGCATCCGAGATGGTACTTGTTCTCTTAGGCGAAGGCGAGAGAAGTAAAAGAGGGAAGTTCGGAAGGACAACGGAAGTCCATCGGGCCTTGCGCGAGCAAGCCCTGTCGAGCTTCTTGGGAAAGCGAAAAGCCAGTTGTGGATGGCGTCTCGGTTCGTGGTGTTGAGCTCGGCCAAAGGCGATAGCAATACCCTGGATGTAGTCAGCCAGAATGCTCACCTCGATTGGGTATTCGGGGTACTTGGTGGAGGTATGAGGAAGGTTTGAGGGGCCATGCACTGGTCTTGTTAGTCAATGAGCTCGATGAGGGAAGGGAATGAACTTAGAAGTGGACCAAGAGTTGTCGCAATGGTCATGAGGGGCCCGCATGTATGAAATCGACAAGCAGCGCGTCGCTATTGCAATACGGAATGCGGCAAGCCGGAGCAGTCGATCATCTACTGGTACTTGGCCGCCATGGTCTGAGAGAGGTCAGTAAAGAGGGGGATGACAAACCTGGATGAAAGAGGGCGGAGGAGATAAGGAGAGGGAGGTGCAAGGGTAAGCACCACTAGGCAAAGGTTAGTCAAAGAACTAATGATGTAAGGTAGAAGAGGTAACATACCAATGAGTGGACATAGTCGTTTTGTGAGTAAGGATTGCGGGGTAGCGATGCTGGGTGGACCGATGAAGATACTGCTGGCGACGACAGCAAGTGTCGTAATGGAGGCGCTGCGACTAAAATTTGAATATTAGCAGGTCGGGGCGACGCCGCGCTGATGGCGACGTCGTAATGTTAGAGGAGGAGAGGAGATACCTGAGGATGTGGTCATAGCTGGCGACGGCAAGATGTGCCATGAAGTGACCCAGCGACTACAAGTTGCGGATTAGCATGATGAGGGCGACGCCGTATCAATGACGGCGTCGCAATGTTAAAGGAGGAGAGGGCATACTTGTAGAGGTGGTTGAAGCTGGCTCTTGGAGCGGGGTACTAGACCAGACGCGCGACAGCAGCGCCGGCGAGGTCGTCGTCAACAAAGTTCAAGGCAAAGAGGAGAAGATACTGATGGAAGGGTTATACTTATCCCCATGCAAGGCATGGGCGACAGACTCCAGGCCAGGCAAGAGGTGGCGGGGAGAGTCAAAGTCAGCGCTACTGCCACCAAAATCAGCGGGCTGTCAGAAAAGCAGCGGGGGGATACCTTGAGGCAATTGCCAAGTAGAGTAGAGGTGTTGGAAGAGGAAAGGAAGCTTCGAGGAGCAGAAAAAGGGCGATTGCGAGGCAATTTTGGGTGGTGGTTGTGGGAGTAGGAGAGAGGGAGGGAGTGAGACAAAAAGCTTTGATTTATGCTAAGGCAGCTACGTGAGAGAGCGGCGGTGACGGCGAGTCGTTCAATAGTATCAATATCACCGCGAGCAATGAGACAGGGGTGGGCAGACGGCGGCAGCTTGATGCATCTACCACTGAGACACTGCAATACCAAGAGAAGAGCTGGGACGACGGCGATGATGATTTTAGATAGCTGTATAGTATTGCATCCTCCTCGCGAGGCCTTGAAGTTCTATCCTACTGTGTTGTGTTGGTGATCCTGACCTTGCTTTGCCTTTGACGCTAGTGATAATCTCCGCGGGCCCCTTCAACACCATCACCACTGCCAAGCCTGCACCGACTTGAGATGGCTCAGAGACTTACAGAAGCTTGAGCACAAGCTGCTCAAAGGCGGACGAAGCCCCTGAAGCTGTTGCATGTATCGGAAAGAGGCACAGCGAATCTGCTGAAGACGGGCGGCGTCGAGGTAGCCGTGACCTCCGAGACCACAGCTGGGGGCGACGACCTTACCCCAGTCGAGCATTACGAGGATGCGAGGGGGCATCCAGCGACGGCAGGAGTGTCCGAGTATCTGCTTACTTGTGAGTAGATGAACAAGGGTTATGACTTACATCGCCCAGGGCGGGCACCAAAACGCGTCTTCCGACATGCACCAGCGCGGAGACATCCACCATCACCACACCTCAACCGGCCCGGCGAGCTGGACGAAAAACTCCCCTCCACCACTGCCTCCCTGACATCGAATCGGCGACGAGAACAGCGACGGCGGAGATATTGGACGGCGCACGAACAAGTCCGTTCGAATACAACCCTAGGGCAGCACAAGGGCGCAAAGAAACTGTATGAGATGGAGCTTCCAGCTGGCACACAGTCGCCCCTGGAATACGAAAGGCTTGTCCTTTCCTCGCGGCTCGACTCTGCAAGACTTCTTTGACGGCGGCACGACCATGTCCGGCGGCCCTCTGCACATCGGGGCTAGACGAGCTACAAGACAACCATCACCTCCTTGAGCATCGGCGCGTCAACATGAATGGCCTCTCTTCTCTTCTCATCGAACAGCGCGACTCATCGGCGAAGGCACCATAGGGCTCTGCTCGCGACGAACAACAGCTCGACAAAGGTCGGGCATGGCGCCGGTGATACACCCCCAATCAACAACGGCGTCTCCAGTTTCCAGCTTACCGAGCGCCTGGGAGATCCACGGGGAGAGACCGATACTTCCAAAGTCCCCATGACGGCGATGGGCGTGAATGAAGTCCTTGACGACCTACCTCTCGCAGCGCGACTCCGCCAAACTTGCGCCATCACCCTGAGCATACCCCGCATAACTTTCCCGCATCGAACCTCCACAGCGCTCCCGTGACGGCAGACGCCTCCTTCACAGCACGCACCGGTGCCGAAGCCTCAACAACATCGCGACAATACTTGAGTCGAGCGACGAGGAACATGATACAAGAGACGCAGCCAGGCTACGGAGGCGACGCGGCCATGCGGAGGATTCATACCATGCGCACAAAGGTAAGCAAGGCCTAGATGGAACTCCTTGGCTAGGCGAGGCATCGACCGACCGAGATACGGTCCGATCATGCATGCGGAGGCGTCCTTCTTCCCGTGACGA